ACACACACACACACACACACACACATATAGCTTGAGTAAAAGAAAGAAGTTTCTTAAAGTCTCTTTTTTTTTTAATCGTCTTTTTTTCAGGAGCTGAAGAGAAGATTCTGGAAAGTTTCAGGAAGAGCCACAGTCCGGACGCGCTGGACTTCCAGCTGCAGGCGATGATCCAGGCGGCCGGAAAACTGGTGCTGATTGACAAGCTGCTGCCCAAACTGCTGGCCGGGGGACACAAAGTCCTGGTCTTCTCACAGATGGTCCGCTGTCTGGACATCCTGGAGGACTACCTCATCCAGAGACGGTGAGGAGAGAGAGAATGAGCGAAGGAAACGTGTGGGAGGAAAAACAAGGGCAAAGTTTAGAATCGAGGTTTGTGAGAGAAAGATGTGATGCAACAGTTGTTGGAAAAGAGAAATTGAATGCGTGTGTTTTCTCCAGCTACACGTATGAGCGCATCGACGGCCGTGTGCGAGGGAACCTGCGGCAGGCGGCCATCGACAGGTTCTGTAAGCCCGACTCGGACCGCTTCGTCTTCCTGCTCTGCACCAGAGCTGGGGGGCTGGGAATCAACCTGACGGCCGCAGACACCTGCATCATCTTCGACTCAGACTGGAACCCGCAGAACGACTTGCAGGTGAGCACGACGACCCGGCCGCAGATGTAACGACGGTTCGTGGATAAAAGCCCAAAGCCGCGCAGATGAGAATATCATCTGACGAATAAATTATTCTCTGCTGTCAGAACATGAAAAAACAGAGAACATCTCTCTAATTCACGCTCGATCCTTTTTCACTGCGCTAAGCTGCTGCTTGTCTTCGCTCTTTAATATGTAGTGGCATTTGTATTGCCTTCTGGGACTGCAGCAGGTGATAAAACGCGTGCTTCAAAGAGCGACTCTGTCTTGAATAATGAAGTGAGTGCACAGTGTTACCTGACAGCCAGAATGAGGCTCCCCCGCAGTTTGGATGCAATGCATGTTTCCTTATCTTGTCGGCTGTCACCTAAACAGAACATTTCTGATTCGCTTTCAGCCTTGTTTGTTGTTACATGTCTGATTGGTCACTGATTAAACCGCAGGATGAGTTCATCACTGAGACGCTCGCTGTTAAATCCTGACAAAGAAATTCAGTCATTTGTTTGCTGAAGATTTTCAAGGGAACAGAAATTAATAGATATAATAGAATCGTCTGCAAAAGACCGATTGAGATTTCTGGAATAACTAGATTTAGTTTGAGCGTTTATCTCTATCACACTTAATAATAACTATATCTCATCATCATCTCATCTCAAAGCATTTAAAAATCAAACTGCAAGAACAGTCACTGTAGAATAAATGTTCTCTCTCATGTCTTGTTTCTTGTCCCAGGCTCAGGCACGCTGTCACCGGATTGGCCAGAGCAAAGCGGTGAAAGTCTACAGACTGATCACCAGGAACTCGTACGAGAGGGAAATGTTCGACAAGGCCAGTCTGAAGCTCGGACTGGATAAAGCTGTTCTCCAAGATATAAACCGTAAAGGAAGCCTCAACGGGGTGAGAGACCAGTTTTAGCTTTACCCGTTTTGGGGATTGGGTAATCAAAGAACGTGAATCCTAATGTGTGAGTGTGTTTCTCCAGGTGCAGCAGCTTTCAAAACTGGAGCTGGAGGACTTGTTGAAAAAAGGAGCGTATGGGGCCCTGATGGACGAAGAAGACGAGGGCTCCAAGTTCTGCGAGGAAGACATTGATCAGATTCTTCAAAGACGAACTCAGACCATCACCATCCAGACTGAGGGGAAAGGCTCCACATTCGCTAAGGTAGAAACACCAAACTTCGGAAATACTGGAATTTAAACTGATATTTCCAGTGGAGGCAACACTGAAAACTTTAGTTTTGGCCTCAAGATCAAATGTTCAGATACTAAATACTTGTGTGAAACTCTTTTGAGTGGCTCTAAACAAAACCAGGATCTGACTCTTTTTAATTTTTCCCTTTCTCAGGCCAGTTTCACCTCATCTGGAAACAGAACGGACATTTCTCTGGACGACCCCAACTTCTGGCAGAAATGGGCCAAGATCGCTGAAGTGGAGATCGACTCCAAATCCGAGAAGGTATAAAGAAGAGCAGGAGATATTCTGCATAAATAAATCCATAAATCCATACGGTCCATTTATACACAAACAAAAACCAGAAGGATCAAAGCTTCTTTACCCTTAAAATATCGACCATGTTGACGTCTTTGTGATACTAGAGAACGTCTCACCCTGTCTGTCAGTATTCCTCCCCTCTCCTCCTCCTCTCCTCCTCCTCTCCTCCTCATAAAGCAGAATATTCATTATTCTGTGTGTGTGTGCGTTGCTTGGGACTTGAAGCCTTTACGCCCTAATTATTGACCCACAGTGAACAGAAGTACTTTACATCTCGTCCTTTTCCTGTGAATACAACCAGAGATTTTTTATAAACTTCATAAACTTTGTCTGATTCAGATGAATGTTTTCTCTCTGACGCAGGAGTCCCTGGTGATCGACACGCCTCGGGTGAGGAAACAGACCCGTCACTACAACTCCTTCGAGGATGACGAGCTGATGGAGTTCTCCGAGCTGGAAAGCGACTCGGAGGACCGGCCGTGTCGCAGTCGTCGCCTGGGCGAGCGCAGCCGACGCTACCTCCGTGCTGAGTGTTTCCGGGTCGAAAAGAATCTACTGATCTTTGGGTATGAACGGAGAATAATGTGCATCTGCCTGCATATTGAATACACTCATCCCTCACACCTCGCAGCCTGAACCACGAGGGATGACACCTTCACTCACGGTCCAATAAAAAGCTGCTCGCGAACTCATAAACGTTTGTTTACAGCGTTGCTCTCAAATGCAAACTCAGCTCTGACCATAAATGTGCCAAATATAAAAACAGAGCAAAAAGTTCACTGTGTTTCGAACTGAAACATAAACTTGGTGTATTTATGGGTTTCTTAGATTTCCTCTGTCTATCTAAATATTTTCTTTCCTCTCCGTCTTTTCCAGTTGGGGTCGGTGGAAGGACGTCCTAAACCACGGTCGCTTCAAGTGGCACCTGGCAGAGAGAGATATGGAGGTGATCTGCAGGTAAGGAGAGCACGTATTTGTTGAGGTTTTTACCTTGAACACATTCTGCAACGAGGGCAGCAGTGCAGCGCCTGACACCATATACCTGCAAACACAACGGTTTTTCTAAGTTGAAAGGAAAACCCCCACTCGTTTGTCCCGCAGAGCTCTGCTGGTCTACTGTCTGAGACACTACAAAGGTGACGACAAGATCAAGAGCTTCATCTGGGATCTGATCACACCCACCAAGGAGGGCCAGGACCAGACGCTGCTCAATCACTCCGGTTAGCATTTCACTTTTCGGTTACACCGTGTCAGCCCAGGACGTTCCAACCGTTTCAACTGGTATTAAAGGGTTCAGAGACGTTTTACCTTTTTCATTCCTTGCATCCTCCTTTTCTTGCCGAAAGGGTAGCACCTACATTACCCAGAATGCAGCGCAACCACTGACAGTTAGGTTGGAGATTCAGGCGCGTAATGATATTCATTTATTGGATTCCCTCCTCCCCTGTTAAATGACTTTAATGTGTAAAATTGTTGGCGTTCCACTTTAACTGTATCTATTCATTTAAATGATAATAACTTTGCAGGAGGAAAATGATTTCACCTCAGAACCTCCCACTCTGTTTGCTGCTGTGCTTATTTTCATTAAATTGTCAGAGCGGACAGTGCATCCAAAATCCTTTGTCGGCAATTAACTCCCCGTTTTTTTTTTTCTCCTTCTTTTCCTCTTTGTCGCAGGTTTATCAGCTCCGGTCCCTCGGGGTCGGAAGGGGAAGAAGCTGAAGAATCAGCTGAACATTCCTGAAGTGAAGAACGCTGACTGGCTGGTCCACTGTAACCCTGAAGTGGTTCTGCAGGACGAGAGCTACAAGAAGCACCTCAAACAGCACTGCAACAAGTCAGTCAACCACCGGTTTTACCGACTTCAATTGACAGGAATCATCTGCAATTCTGTAAACGTGGCAATGTCCTAGAGAAACAACCCCTTCAGCCATTATTTGCGGCATAGTGGTACAGTGTTTGGAACTGTCCTGGTTCGATTCCCAGCTCGGGGTCTCCATGTGGAATTCGCATGTTCTCCGGGGTACTCCAGCTTCCTACTACAGTCCAAGCGACATGCAGTTTGGGCTTATTTGGATATATTTTGTCCCTAGATGGTGATTGGCTGCAGCCCTCAAAAGGAAAAGCTATAGCTGATGGATTATAAATAAAATTTCTGAGCTGCAGAATAACTGAAGCTGAAACTACCGGTGGCTTCAACGTGACAACAACAGTACAACAAAGCTTCCGGCAAAACACAAATTTTAAGGGCAGAAAAAGAACCAGAGCGGTTGTTAAACGTATTGACACTTGAGGACTTTTAATTTCACCCTGAAGCTGGGAGCTGTTTACACGTGAAGTGTTTACTCCTGTATATCAGTTCAGTCGCAGGGCAGAGCGGTGGCATTTAATTAATTCAGCTCTCACAGAGCCTGTTGACAGAAGAACTCTCATTACAAGAGCGGAGAGATTACGACAAGAGAGAGACATGACGGGAGAAGACATGAGGAAGAAGCAGCAGTAGAACAATTTACCGTCACGCACACGTCTGGATTAACTAAACCTGAACAAACATAATCTCTGTAAACAGATTCTGCACATTAATATTCAGATTCTATAGGTGAGGGATGAGATTTTGGAACCGGGAGGTTCTGGTTTCTTGTTTCTTGTTTCAGATCCCCTCAGGTAAACAGAACGTGTGGACAAAAGATCATTTGAACCTAAAACATCAACAAAAAGTTTCACTCCAGACCTTTGACGTGTGTGATAACGAAACTAGACTGTGAACAGGTTACGATGAGCAGAAGATGGAGTCCTGGCCTGAATATCTGCACTACACTGGGAGAACACACATATATTGGCTTTTGCCCCTAGATGTTAATTCATCTTCAGACGATGGTCGATGGGATCCACCGTTCAGAGCAAGAAAATAATCTTTGACTTCCCCTCCGTCTCTCTCCACCTGTCTGTACTCAGGGTGCTGCTGAGGGTGAGGATGTTGTACTACCTGAAGGTGGAGGTGTTGGGTGAGGCTGCCAATCAGGCTCTGGAGGGGATACCTGCCAGGTAAGAAGCTGCTTATTGTAAGAAAAGAAAAATCGTGACACCTGACACTGACAGTGGTGCTGTTTCTTCTGTGTGTGTTTCGACAGTAAACTTGAGGTGTCGCTACCAGACATCGACTACATTGAGATCCCCGCGACGTGGTGGGACGCAGACGCCGACAAGTCCCTCCTCATAGGAGTCCACAAACACGGTGAGGGCCGGAGGAGGCGGAGCGAGATGTTTTGTAAATGCATTGTCTCACAGATGAGAACAATCATGGAAGGAACACATCTGGCATAGGTTGTCCATGTGTTTGTGTGACGTTCACCCAGATGTATCTTGTGTTTTAAGCTTTTACAGCATCAGACCATCACGGTATACTCAGACCCAAATTATTGTCAGCAGGTCACTCGGCAAAACTGGAACAGAATATTCTGCTGTGTGTGTGTGTGTGGTTGTGTACATCAGTACGTCTTTGTCTGTGTTTTGATTGTCATCCATATTTTTTTTTCTTGGACAGGATATGAGCGGTATAACGCCATGCGTGCTGATCCGGAGCTGTGTTTCCTGGAGAGGGTGGGGATGCCAGATGTCACGGCGCTGACAGTTGAACAGGGTGGAGGAGAGGGGGCTGCAGACATGACCGACAGGTAGGGTACACACGTGTTCTAGGTATCACACAACCCATGGTGTTATACTCTCAGTGCAATGTGTATCTGTTCTTTGAGCTACATGGTCCCAGATCTGATTTACAGTAGTAAACCAAGTTACTGAGTTCTTTCTTGGCCCGTGGTCCATCCTTCTACCGTGTTTTAAAAAAAAAAACTAAGTTCAGACGTTTTTGTGTTGTTCTGACAAACAAATCAACGGACAGGGGCTTAAACACAACGAGCTTTGGCAGAGATCGTTAATGATAGTGAGATGAAGCAGGGACCACTTCAGTATCCTCCACCTGCTCCTGACACTCAGTAAACCTTCGGGATGTCTGTATGGAGGTGACCCACATGAACATCAAACCTGCTGATCTTCATCAGGATCCACATCCTGTCGTCTGTTCCTCACCGTCTGTGGTAACGGGCGCAGCGGCGGCCAACGCTGGTGTTACAAACACATCTTGTTCTCTCTGTGTTTGTTTGTGTTGACACCGCCACCTCCTCTCACACATGCAGGCTTTACATCCTGGGTGTGAAGAACCAGATTAAAAACACATAGAAATACAAACATTAATGCAGCGGCTGATATCGGGGTCCTTACTTTGAGAATAACAACCAGGTCATGTTTTAATGATGAACAGACTCTGACAGCTGCAGGTGTAAAATGATACAGCGCTCAGTCGACCACTGAATTCTAAAAGCTTTTTCCTCGGAGGACGTGTGAAAACAGCCAACTCAAGTCATTTTCCACCACTTTTCACTCCTTGACTGACAAAAGCCAGAGAGAATAACCGAGAGAGAAAGAGGAGAGTAAACGCATCGGGGGGGGGAAATTCATTTTCTGGATGCTGCTCCATCGACTGATGGCGGAGCTGTGAAGATGAGACGCACGTGTTTGAACAGGAAGCTTTGACCGTCTTCCCGAGGGTAACTGAAGTTGTCGTTCGCTTTGTTACCTGCTCAATCCTGAGCAGTTCCCAGCTGAGCTCTGCAGAAACATCTCGTCTCTAAACGTTAGCTTTAGGAAGGTTTCCTCCGCAGGATGAGAACATTTAAATCGTACCAAGGAGAAGGGACAAGTTACAAGGATTCACACAGAGGGAGTGACACAAAACTTTCACTTTTCCTCAGTGCTTCTTGAAGAGTGATTTTCCTCCTGTGGAATTCCCGTGGAGGCTCGGGTTTGATTCAGACTTTCGCTTCCTGTTCTCTCCTTATTCACACATTCACCTGCGGAGCTCATCAAGACTTTAGACAACACTGTTAGTTCAGCTTTTTTCTCTCGTCTGTTGTTTTTTTCTTTTCAGTGTTTGTAAAACAGAGGAGGCGAAGGATGATGCTGAAAACAAAGCTGACGGAGGAGAGGACAGAGACGAGAGCAGCAAGGTGAAGAGGAAGATCCTTCACTCACTCACTCGTTCACTCACTCTTTATGTAATCAGGCAGTCTCACTGAGTTTCATTCTCTCTTTCAAGACAGACAAGTAAACTACATTTGTGTTTAATTTAAAATATCCCTGCTGATATCGTGATATCGATTTGAACAAAATATCCAGTCTTAGAAAAAAGACTGTCGGGTGGTTGTGTGATAGAATTGTTGCTGTTGTGTTAATTCCAAACAATTTTGTGCATTTTTAATCGACAGGGAGAAGAAACCTGCTCCAGCACTGATACCTCGGACAAACCTGACAGTACAGGTCCAGGTGAGACTCGCTGTGCTGAACAGTTGCTGCTGATGTATTCAGACATTTCCTGTAGAAGACACAAAAGAGCAGCCTCACGTTTACGATCCTTCAGAAGCTGTTTTCCAGAGTTCACGTGAACACAAACACACAAATACAGACGCTCTCCCCGGGATCGAAGGCTGTTTAGCGCTTTGACATTTTCAGGTCGTAAAAACGATTCAAGCATCATTTTCAGTGAGTCATGGATATTTTTCCTGTCATGACTCCGACATCCTTTTTAAGACAGTGTGATATCATTTCTCTCCTCTGAACTAAATCTCTGATTTAGTACGAAAGGTTCTTTCCCCTGATGCTTCCTTTCTAAACCCATTTCACCTGCTGAGGACTTCATTTCACCGCCTGTAAGCAGAGCACAGGGGCTCAAATGTGCAAAATGAGTTCTGATAGTTTTAATAGTGTTCGCTCTCTGTGGGTAAATCTAATGAGCATCCAATTGTTGAATGTTACTCTGGAGAAAGAGACAGTGAGACGTCAGGTACTCAGTGTTCTGCTGTGAATGGAGGAGCTCGAGAGAAATTATTACAAACTCTTTCCGTCTTTTTTATATTCAAAACGTTTTTATTTGAAAAAAGAGGATATTTGGGATTTTCTGTGATGAGAAAATTACGTTATAACGGCCCAGTGCTCTGCTGTGATTGATTTTAGTTTCCCAGCTCATTGATCCTCTGGTTTAAAGTCCGAAATCCAAGCGGAATTAAATCAGAATGAGATCTAAATCTTTTTAGGAATTTCTAGCCGTCCTGCGGTAAAGGCCAGTTCTACTTTTTATCGTCGACATGTCTCTCTCTCTTCACAGACTCCCAAATGTTGACTGATGTCTGCGTCCAGGATGGGCCTTTGGTCACCACGACAACAACGGGAACAGGAACGGGTGTGGCGGCTCTGCACGTGGTCCAGGCTCGACCTCTCTGGCCCACGGGCCCAGCCTTGACGGCTCGTGTGCGGCGCCTCATCACCGCCTACCAGCGGTTCACGCTGCGCCGCGAGCCACTGCTCAGGCACGACTTCCTGCTTCACGATGGCCTTGTTGGCATGGGGATGGGAGGAGGCGGATCCTCTCACAGTCATCATGCTGGCGGACCGTTGGCGTGGCAGCTGGGAGAAGAGCTGAGGAGGTGTTCCGTTGTCGCCACAGAACCGGACCCTCTGTTTCTGGAGTGGCAGAGGAGGTGATGATGCTGGAAATTTAAAGCCGAGAATAACCGATAAATACAAATGTTGTGTTGCAGAATCGAGTTTAAATTTATATTTGTTTAAGTCTTATTTGTTTGGATCTGCATATCTGAAGTTTTTATTCCGGCCATAATGTGAGAGAAAATAATATGATTACAAAAAAACAATTGCAAGACTTTTTTCGCAGACTTGAAATCGACTTTCTGTCTTTAACATTTCTGTCTTTTTTTTTCGTTAAACATTTCTGATGCAGAGTTTCAGTCTTGTTTCTTTTCTCTTTGTCTCCTCTGTCTCGTCTCAGGTGGACTCGTCGAGAGCAAGCGGACTTCTACCGCACCGTGTCGTCGTACGGGGTGGTCTACGACCCAGAGAGGAAAACCTTCGACTGGTCTCAGTTCAGAGCTCTGGCCCGACTGGAGAGGAAGACGGACGAGAGTTTGGAGAGATACTTTAACTCCTTCGTCAACATGTGCAGGACGGCCTGCAAGCTGCCTCTGAGGAAGGAAGAAGGTATGATTTATATTTAATGCGTTGTCTGAATGTGAGAGCAAAGTTCTGATGCAAACATCAGTGATGGAGTTAATTTATCACCTTCAGAAAACTTGCTCCGTGCTAATGTCTGACTCCCCCCTCCCCTTCCTCTCATGTCGCTGCAGGGCTGGTGGATCCCGCAGTGCTCGTGGAGCCTCTGACAGAGGAGAGAGCCGCCCGGACTTTGTATCGCATCGAGCTGCTCCGCAAAATCAGAGAGCAGGTGAGCTCTTTAATAGAAATGACTAACTTCTTTTACTAGACTAGCATCACTCAGAGCGCGTTGGTGGAAATGGTTTTCAAACATTCGACCTTCACGCTCTCTAAATTTCCTCCTCCTCTCAGGTTCTCCGTCACCCGTTACTCTCCGCCCGCCTCCAGCTGTGCCGCCCCTCCCTCTACCTCCCGGTCTGGTGGGAGACCGGCAAACACGACCGCGACCTCCTCATCGGTGCGGCACGTCACGGCTTGAGTCGAACCGACTTCTACATCCTCAACGACCCCCAGCTGAGCTTCCTGGAGGCTCACAGGAACTACGTCAAAAGACAGCCCTCTCACCTTCATCCTCAGAGTTACCATCACTCTCACCATCCTGGCTTGTCGATCTCGTCCTCTTCTTTCTCCTCGTCGCATCCGCAGCTGCCGCATCCTCACTGCTGCTTGTACGACTCAGGTCTCGGTCGTCACTCCCCTCAGCCTCCTGAATACCCCCACCAGTCCTCTCACCACCACCAGCATCACCACCAGCATCACATTATGCCTCCATCAGCTCCTTCTCCTTCGTCCTCTTCTTCCTCTTCCTCTCACCCTCACCTCCAACCTCCGCCGCTGGATGCCCACGATTCTGCCTCACCGAGCCTGGGAATGGTGCCTGGGTCACGGGGAGATTTCCTTGACTGTCCCCCTTTGGATGAATCCCTGGAGCTGAGTTCCCTGCAGCATGACGCCATGTCTGCAGATGCGTTACATGGAGGGAAAACGTCCAAAGATGCCCTCAACGGTTTCCCGTTCAACTCTGCTGCAGGAGGTCAGAGTATGCTCAACTCGTACGGCGTGGGCGGAACAGACCTGGATTCAAAACTAAGGAGTGACGTGCTTGTAGGCGAGCAGGGTTCGTCAGAGGAAACAGGGCTGATGGCGCCGTCAGTGGAGCTGGACCAGTTACAGGTTTGTATTCTCCAAACGAACAAACAATGAAAACACAAAATCTAACTCCCACAAACTTTTCAATTTATATATTATTTGAGTCTGGACATACTACAAATTGACTATTTCACAAAGGACTTTCCCGAGGTCGTAAACGTACTTGTCTTTTTCCTCCATCCATGTTTGTGTGCACGACCATCTTTCTTTCATCCACCACCTCTGTCCCTGCAGGCTCCCTGGGACGGAACAGACCACTCCAGTCCTGCTCACCACATGTTCAACGAGTCCGATCCAATCCTGGGTCCCTCCGCTCTGGAGACCGGCTTTCTGGAGGAGGAGGACGAGGAGACGCAGGGGGGAGACAGAGGAGGGGAGGAAGGTGGAACGCTGGAGGAGTGTCTGGGCCTTCCGCCCTCATCCTCCCCGTCCCACCCATCTGCAGGAGATTCAGTGGAGCCGCTGTCCTCCAGCTACATGCTCTTTAAGGTCGGTTTCATTGTCCTGTTCCTTCAGGACGACATCAGCAACTTACAGAGAAAATGATGAAGATTTCAAAAGCATTTTAAAAACATTGCTGTGTAATCACAACTCCTGCGGTAACAATTATCTGAAACCATTTGTATTTTAATGTTTTTAGTGCTGCAGACCATAGACAAACATTCAGTAAATTACTGTGAAATATTATTTTTTCTTGAACTACTTGTGATTTGGTCAATTTCCCCAAACACCCACTTCAGCTGTTATTGGATTGTGCCAGTACTTTACTATTTAGCAATTAAATGATATATCATTATAAAGAAAATGTATGAATTACTAATGGCTGCTGAAATCATTATTAAACAGAGGATATTTTTGACCCTGTGAGAGAAAATGTTTATTAAAAGCTGTTAAAAGATCAGTGAACTTTGGCGGAGAAGTGAATATAGTTTTAAAGCAGCACTATGTACATTTGACTGAGCAACAGCGCCCTCTACAGACACACGTGGCTCAGTCACCAAAGTTACATAAAGCAAGTGGTTTAAAAGATTGTTTAGAGGAAGTTCTTTATAAATCAATGCATTATTATTATTTTGTTCAGGACATTGGTGTGAGTGAGGAACCCAGCGCCGATCAAACTGACCTGTCAGTGAGCCCTCCTCCGCCGTACGTCCCCCCTCCTCCCCTCTCTCTGTCTGACATCACCGCCCACGAGCCACAGGACAGGCTGGGCCACTCCGATGTCGCTGTGAGCCTGACCAATCCTGTGGACGAGGAAGAGGAGCGGGACGGAGGCGCTGGGTTTGAGTTCGACGAGAAGGAGGAAGAAGATGTGGAAGACTTGTCGGGGGAGAACATGGAGCAGAGGGGACACAAAGAAGGAGATCGGCGTCTGGAAGGAGAGCAGAGTGACACGCATCAAGGTATATTTGACTATTATTATTATTACTATTATGATTTTCTTGGTCTCAAAAGTTTGGAGGAGGTGTCAGTGGGTACTAGAATTTTCTACTTCCAGATCTTGTGGAAGATCAGGAATGAGCCATCAGAATAAATGTAAAGATGCTATAATCAGATAAACCCCCCTGCTTTCCTTTGCTCCTGATTTAAATTCCATCTGACTTATATTTTCAGACCAAAGTTTGGGAGTCTTGAATCCACACATGGACCAGATCGATGGGTTAGAACCAGAAGAACAGGACGAGAGGATGGACGTGTCAAACCATCTGTCTCAAGACTTTCAGCAGCGCTTTGAGCAAGGACAACATAAAACGGGCTTTCCCCGAGTCGTGCATCCTTATCTCGGGAAGATCGAGCAGTGTCCCGAGTCTATTGAAGAGCCGGAGGAGGAGGTGGACGGGTTGATTTTGTATCAGACCGTTGATGGAGAGACGAATGAAAAGTCTGGAACTTTAATAGGAAATGCATCTGAAGAGTTCCTGCAAGCGAGAGAATTAGCAGAAGATTCCAGAGAGGATGGTTCGATGGAGCACACAGATCTTTCAGATCAAGTTGATGAGGACGTTCCGGTGAAACAATCAAACACTAAAGCCTGTGAGACCGAGCTGGACGATGTCTACTCAGACTGCACACGACCCTCCTGCCCTTCAGCCTCCCTCACCTCTGTTACAGACGCATCAAAGTCTGATGAGACCAACACAAAGAACGGTGGGAATGTCGCCACAGATCAGGAAGATTACGAAGGTCCAGGTGAAGACTGTAAGAACGGAGCCCTGACAATCGCCCCATATCAGGACAACAAAGACAATCTGCTTCAACGCATCAAAATCAAACCCGTCGCTGCTCTGCCTGAAAACAGCATTGACGCGAAACCATCCGATCTTAAATTCCCTCTGTTACCAAACGATGGGGGTGAGAAGAAACTGGCTCAACTGGAGCAGCCAATCAAGGTAGAGGAGACAAAGATGGAGGTCGCTGAGGAGGCGTTACCCGTATACCCTGACAGCTGTGAAGTCAAACATGCAAAGTTTCTCGCTTACCCCGTCAAGTCAGAAAAGTTAGTGACCAAAGCGGAGCAGTTAGATTATCCCCTGAAAGAAGAAACCCCGCAGTCAAAACCCGAAGATCTAAGCATCTCCATGAAGCCTGAGAGCGTGGACCATAAACCTGAAGTTCTCCAGTTTGCAGCCTTCTCAGATGGCGTCGAAGTCAAACCTGAAGCCAAACCAGTGGCTCTCGACTTCACGTCTTATCCAGATGTCGCCAAGCTTAAGAGTGAGACGAAGCCAGAGGGTTTAGGGTTAACAGCTTTTCCTGACACGTCCGTCATCAAGCCTGAAGCCAAGCCGGACGTTCTGGAGCTCGCAGCCTACCCGGACAGCTCAGAGGTCAAACCTGAGGCCAAGCCCGAGGGCCTCGAGTTCACGGAGATCAAATCTGAGACGAAGCAGGAGCTGCTGGAGGCCGACAGCACTGTCCTGACCCCGAAGCTCGAGCAAGCGGACGGGCTGGTGGACTCCTCGGAGAGCCTGGTGGAGAAAGGCCAAGTGAAGGAGGAGAGGCCGAGTACACCAGGTAAGAATCCTCAAACGTGCTCATTTAGAGGAGACATATTTTGCTCACACTAAAGTTTCTCATAAAATAACAGCTTCACTTGAAGCCAACACCGAACAGCAGCTGCTGCATCTATAGAGAACTTTAGAATATGACGTCACGAAGCAGGGTGTGGACGAGGTGTCGCAGGATCTCACTTTACCGCAGACTTTGCAAAAGTCATTTGTAAAATCCAGGCTGTACTTCTCATTAGACAAACTGTTGGTTTCAAACCTGTCGTCCTCTTTCATAGTCCCTGTGGTGGAAGGATACGCGGGCAGCCCCAGGTTTGCAGCTCCCATCTCCATGTGTGACATTCCCGACAGTCTCCATGACGCCAGGGAGCCGACCATCGCTCAGCTCTTACAGGAGAAGGCACTTTACTCGTTCTCAGAGTGGCCGAAGGTACTGTGTTGTCGTTACCGTCTAACATCGACGCACATTTCAGAGCTGTAAATGTTTACTTACTTTAGGTTGTTGTTTCAGTTTGTACTGATTTTTTCCCCCAGATACAAAATTGCAAACTCCAAAAAAACAAAGAGAAAAAGTACAGTAGCAAAGAAAACAGCTTTTTATTCACTACTTTTAATTCCCCTCACATTATCTCTGCCCCTGTAGGACCGGGTGATCATTAATCGTCTGGACAGCATCTGTCACGCCATCCTGAAAGGGAAGTGGCCTTGGCCCAGCGAGCAGCACGACGCGCCTGGTTCCCTCTCCGCCAACTCCTGCCTGGCCAACAGCTTGGCCCAGCACCACCACCACCACCACCAGCAGCGAGCGGGATTCCTCCCCACCACGACCTCAAGCTCCGTCCAGGGACAGGCCAGAGTTCAGCAGACAAACCCGGGACTGGCGTTCCAGATCCCTCCGCCTCTGACGAGACTACCTAAGGTGAGAATGAACCTGTGACCTGATGAATTAATAAAACACTTTTTTGTGCATATCGAGGTATCTGTCATCTGTCTACATTTATTTCCATTGTCTCATGTCATGGTTCATAAAAGTGGTGTCCAGTTTAAACTGATGATGAAGTTCAAGTTATATTTAAATATTATTTTCAGATAAACGTTGAATGTCTAATTTATCTTTGTCAGTGTTATCTAGCACGAGGATCAGTTTAGTTAAAATATCTCAACTTATATTGATATTTGGGAAATATGGAGCAGGTTTGTCAGGTGACACTGGGCACCTCTGGTTCACTTCATAGATTCATCATTGCCTTCTTGTAAAGTTTCCTGTGTCTGTAATGTGTACTGTTGATATTATACATGTTGATATCAGACTTGGGCATGTAGTCATATAAATTAATACGTTTCAAATATGAGGAAAATCACTTTCAAGAAAAATTCAATACGTTTTTATTTCAGTTCTTGTCTAACTAATGTTACACACCATAAACCAGGGAACTGAGGGTGTGAACTATTTATTTGATTTAATATCTCGTAATCTTGGCGGTAAACGAATAATCACCATTGATGTTAAATAAAGACAGACGACATGTCTCCACTAGGGTGTGGAAGTCCGCAATCCAAGCCCTTTGGGATCGTTGAGTCAGGGCTGGGTTCCGACAAAACGTTTAAAATAATATTAGTGGTCGGGTATGGTCACGTTAGCTGGGCTCTCTACTTTATTCTTTACCCTTCACGTGCCTGTAGTTTGGGGAAAACAGCAGGTTTAGATTAGGCTCCGATAATTCTTGTTCAGGCAGAAAATTGTTGCTCTCGAGTCTCCACTTCCTCCCGCTCTCCCGAAATGAAGTATCCGTTACATGAAAGCGGCCATCTTGCAGCGAGTTCCTGTAGATACTCCACGAACTGCGAGGCCAGTCTTAGCTGTCAATCATGATGATCAAATCCGAGAGCTGAAAACTATAGTGTTGAGGTGTTGACGTAGTTTTACCCAGGTCTGGTTGACAGCCGCCACTGTGTTGTGTCTCAGTCCATATGTATGTTTAATAAAGCCATCATCTCTCTCCCATTCTTGTCTACCCCTCACCCACCCTGTCCACCCTGACAGTACATGCCGCGGGGCGGCGCATGCGGGCGCGGAGCTTGGCGCCTCACCTCCTTGCCTCTCTTACAGGAGAGGCTCGTGGCTCCTCCCTACCTCCCCGAGCTCAAACGTGCAGGAGGTCGGAGGTCTTTCGACTACGAAGCCGCGGCCGCTGCAGCCGCTGCCAAGGTTTTAGCTGGGAAATCAGCGTCGGCGTGCCACGCTGCCGCCGCCACAAGCTCCAGTGGTGAGAAGGTGCCGGTGGTGGCCCCGCCCTCTCACCGCACAGGAGCCATGTTGATGAACGGCTGGCAAGAAGCAGCCATCGATCTAACCAAGTCGTCTACAGAAATAAGCACCACTAGTGGCAGTGGCTCGGGTGACGCTGTGGTTGCACCAGGAATCAGCCACCACGGTGCCGGCAGCGGCCACAAGCTGCCGCCGCCCCCCATCACAGCACCGTTAACTGGCTCTGTGGGAATCGACATGGCGGGGATACTGCAGGCCGGGCTCATCCATCCTGTTACAGGGCAGATAGTTAACGGGAGCCTGAGGGGAGATGACTCACTGAGGAGGAGGAGAGGGAGGAGGAGAAACGTGGAAGCTCTGTACTCTGAGTTCACCAAGAGCCGAGGACTGCACCTCCCTGAGACACAGGTGGGTCAGTGTGAGGCCAGTTTGAACTGTGTGTAGCTCAGTGTGACGGAGAAGCTACACCGGGGGGAGTTTGAAAGATGGAGTGTTGAATATCAAGCTAATACACCTGTGTGTGTGTGTGTGTGTGTGTGTGTGTGTGTGTGTGTTACCTGCAGGGCCGGGTGGATATGATCAGCCACTCCTCCGTCTCCTCCTCCACTTCCTCGCCGTCCCCCTCCCCTTCAGAGCGACCCGCGGGTCCTCCCACTCCGTCCACCTCTTCTACTCCCACCCCCACGCAGACGCCTCCTCAGCCGGAGATCGTGGCGATCGACAGGGAGGCGGCGAGCAAAGGTCTCATCGAGTGGCTGAGACAGAATCCGAGCTACAGCATGGATCTGCCCACGTTCGCTCATGTACGTCAGAAACTATTGATGCGACGGTGCCGCATTTATTTTTGTGTTGAAATAAACGGTCGTGTCTTAATAACGCCTCTGTCCTCTCTTCAGTCCGGAGCAGGTCTGTTACACGGTTTTGTGGAGCGTCCCAAGCAGAGGAGGCATCGCTGCAAAGACCCGACCAAGCTGGACATCAACTCTTTGACGGGGGAGGAGAGGGTTCCTGTCGTGCACCGAGGAACCGGACGCAGGGTAGAAAACAAACACACGTGTTCACACAGCTCATTTACACCATCAGTAAATCTACATTCTCAAGTTCAGTCGCAGGAGGAAAAAAAACCTCAGTGTCCTGCTGCGTTACTCTTTGCTGCAGCCTGGTGGTGCTGTGGTGTCACCTGCTGCTGTCAAGTAAATGGAGAACTCCCACATGTGGCTTAACATCTTTGTCATTGAATTATTGTGTGCGTTTTCCTCACCTCACAGCTTGGTGGCGCCATGGCTCCGGCCATAAAAGAGCTCTCCAGGTGGTTGGATGCCAACTCGGAGTACTACGTCGCTCCAGACTGGGCTGATGTGGTCAAACACTCTGTGAGTATAAACTTTAATGATGTTTGTCAATGTCTGCAGATACTTTCATTCCTCCTCTGCTTATTTTTTATTTGACCTGAAATCTTTCCAGATCATTTTTCATTAATGCAGTAGAATCTAATTTGTCGTCCTCCTCCTCTAACCTGCAGGGTTTCCTCCCCGAGGGGAAGTTCTCTCGGATCCTGACAGAACCAGTTAACAGGGACCCGAACTCTCGTCGTCGTGGACGTCGGCCTCGCAATGAGATGCCTAAGCCCCTCCTTTCCGTCTCTGACTCCTCCTCATCTGGCCTCGGCCCCCCGCTCTTCATGAACGGCGGTTTGATCGGCAGCATGGACTCCATGGTGGCCATGCAGAATCTCCGTGGCGGTATTCCTGGAATCCCCATCTCGGGGATCATGGCAGCTGGATTCCCTCACGGTTTCCAGGCGGGTGGAGCTGGAGCGTCGGCAGAAGACGCCAAGAACGGGTTGAGCATGTTACCCATGATGCTGCATGGCATCCCGCACCCCCATGGGGCTGCGATCCCTCAGCATGCCTTGTTCAGCGTCGGAGCAATGATGGCGCACGCGCCTCCTCCTCACCCCAGCTCCTCCTCCTCTTCTTCTTCACTGTCAGCGCCGAAGGTCACCACAACAATGGCACCCTCCACATCTGAGGCCAGCCCCTCATCGACAACGCCCGCTGACAGAGAGAGTGCAGGCTCTCCGGGTACCGTAGGCGAAAAGGAGTGGAGCCAGGATGAGAAAGGAGCAGCGGACACCAACAAAAGGTCGGGAGCGATGGAGGCGGCCATCATTACCTCCACCAGCAGGGCCCATCTTGGCTCTGTGCACCTCGGAGCGAGCGCTGGAAGCCATCTTACCTTCAACCCCTTCCTGATCCCGGGCATGTCCCACGGCCTGCTGTATCCACACATGTTCTTGCCTCACGGTGGCATCATGGCGCTGCCCGCCATGCCACCTGGCATGGTAGACGGTTCCCCGGGAAGCCCAAAGAGGAGGAGGAAGAGAGGGAGGGAGGAAGGGGAGAGAGAGGAGGAGAAAGAAAGTACAGTTAAGGTTAGCGTCGCCTCCCACCCGGCCTCCTCCGTGTCTCCCTCCATCCCCTCTACCTCGGCTCCGGACCCAGGCCCACCTCCGACTGAAGAGCCCCAGACCGGGCAGGGAGACACAGAGGACGGGCCCTCAGAGCCCCAGGAATCAGACTCCCACGACCATCCTGAGGGAGCAGCAGCAACACAGGAGGACGAGGAAGGATCGGAGGAGAAGCAGGAAACTGAGGAGCAGAGACAGGAAGGCGGAGAGGAGGAAGTGTAGAGGAGGAGACAAACTGGACAGAGAGACGAAGCACTTCCTGCGCTCTCCTCCCGTCTCCTCTGTTGCTCCTTTTCTCGACTGAGCAACAGTGTAAAGTTTGTGCCGTGTCTGTCAGTCAATGTCCATGTAAAGACTTTTATTATGMCGATGACTAATAATAACGATGATGATGATGATGATTATATTCAACTTGGTCATGTTTATATACCAAGACCCCCCCCCTCGCCCTCTTCACTCCCTCCTTGTATACAAACAAGTGTAAGAAACGATTCTTCTATGTATTGTTCCCCTTCATTCTGCATCAAGACTGAGTCCACACACACACACACACACACACACTCACAGAAGGCAATACCCTCTAACCCAGAAGTGTGTATTTGGCGTGTCGTTACACAAAAATCCAAGATGGTCCGTCGAGACAAATGTTTTTGGATGCGCAGCTTCAGTTTGGTGTGTTTTGCACAGACACAAGATTTAAAGGAGGTGGTTTTCTTAATTCATTCTGAACTTTGCTCCACTTTTCAGTGAATTTGAAGACAGAGCGCTAAAAGACGAGCCCGTTCACCTCGGCCCTTTCTTGCCCTTCGTGCTTGTGGATGATATTTACTTTTTGTGCAGGGCTCAAAAAGCTGCGTCCCCAGACACTGAAGCGTCTACATTACATTAACATCAGGCTACATCCACACAACTGTGCTTTCACAACTCTGGTACAGACACAGCGTCCGCACTTCTCTGGAGTTGTGGAGCCGCCAAAAGTTGAGACGTTAGTAAACGCTGCTTGAATCCGTTTTCATTTAAGAACTCCAGGTTTGCACATTAGTCTGAACTGAGATGTGCCGACTGGGACTTTTCCGTCATGTCCTAGCCTTCGCTGATTCTTCAGGCTCCTGTCACATGACCTCCTTCCAGAAGAAGTCCACTACCTTAGTCTTAAGCTACCAGTGTAGAACACGACATGGAGGATCAAGTGTTACCGACCCTGTTGTCTTTGCTAAAAGCTGTTTGTGCAGTTAAATTATGTTTTTTTTTACAACAACACAACCGTTTACATGTGGAGGAGACGAGCTGTTATTCAAGTATGTCCTGTTAACATTGACACACACGTGCTCAGTGTACGAGTCGGGTCACGTGATATGCGTTTTCAGGCGTGTTAGCACGCGGATTATACATACGGAGACGAAGCGCTCGTGTAGACGGAGATACTTTAAGTTTGAAAACGTCATTTACGTTGTATGGATGTGGCCTAAGAAATAAAATAAAACGGTCTGAGCACATTTCAGATCTTAGACTTTTAAAACCTCTAAATCAGCTTGTTGTTGTAAAGGTAAGAAAGACGCCAAATCAAAAAAACAAAAATGTTTTTTTTACTTAAATCAAGAAATCTGTGGCCGTAAAAGTTGATAAATCCCAGGCCGGGATGTTGTATCTTAACTTTAAGATATTATCTGCTGGTCCCACATGTTTTAGATAAATCTGATTCATGTTTTTATTATGGCTATAATTTATCTATAATCAATGCTATGCCGTTGCTGCTATAACTTCTTTTTAAGAAGTTTATTCGCCCTCACTAAAGAAGAATCAGATCTTCAGAACAAGAACACCACCTTTTTTATTTTCTTCTGTTGAAAAGAGATTAATTTAAAGAGATTAAGTCATTTTATCCCTTTCAAGATCATGTTAAGATTTTTTAATTTTTTTATATTTTAAGCTCAGACACAGAGTCACTTTGAGAGAACGTCCCTTTAGAGGTTTCTTTTTTTTTTTTTTTTTAAAGAGCTCAGCCAAACCACCAGGGGGCAGTAGGAGGTAGATTTGATTCCATGCTATCCATCAGACATCGAGATGGAGGGAGGAAAGAGGAAAGGAGGTGTTTCTTTTTTTGTTTTGTCCCAAATGACATCACTGAATCCGTTTGAACAGTGGCTCATAAACAGTGAAACAACAATTTCAATCTTGACCTGTAGCATCATTTCATAGTCGTGTGTTTTGTTTTAATTTTTGACCACAACGTTCTCTTCTTTGTTTCCTCGGTGGGATTCTGTGTAGAGAGATGTCGACCATCTGTCCAGCGAAAGGGAAAAGTCTGTACTTTCGAATGAAGAACAGATAGCACAGGAAGAGGAGGGAAGCAAAGCCGTGTGACTCAGTCGTTGCTCTTCGTCTCGTCTCTTTTCCTAAGATTAGTTTTAATAGCAGTTCATACTAAGAGTTTCTAAATATGTAAATCTATCGCTGTATATTT